GGGGGGGCTCGGCAGGCAGTTTTTCAGGCCCAGCGTTCCGGCGCAGGGCCTGGAAATGGTGGTGAGGGTGGGGGGTGCTCCACAGGCCGTTTTTCAGGCCCGGCATTCCAGTGCAGGGCCTGAAAAAGGCGAGGGGTGGCTCCGCAGGCGACGGAAGGGCTGATCAGGGAACTTACCTGCCTACTGCTTGTTCTTTCTGGCCTGACTGATGGCTGTTGGGAGCAGGGGGCGGGGCTTATGTGCCCGCCCCCTGGGCTCCTTACTGGTGGAGCGGTGCTCTGGCACGCTCCGGCAGGAACCAAGGCCTGGATGTGAGGATTTTTATTATTAAGCGCAGGCATTTTCTGGTAAAAGTTCAGAAACAGCACAGCACTAAGAAGCAATTCTGAGCCACGTTCATCCTGTTTGTGTGAATGTTGCTTGGGATGGAATATAAGAATGAGCCATTTTGAATCAGAATAACGTTTTACTTTTTTAAGCAAAAAAGTCTCATGCATGCATGAACAAGGCATTCTGTGTGAATGAGGATTCAGGTATTTGTAGGTGACTTATGTACTGGTTGTGATATTGAGCTGGATCTTGATCATTCTGTACTATGTCCCTGTTTTATTAAAATTCTTGTTGCAGAGTGGACACATAACCCAGGAAAGCAGGTGATGGGAACAAAAATATAATAACCCCCACTCCTGCCTATAGAAAATCAAGTAAAAGCCAGCAATGGAATTAAGTAGGAAAATGATTTGGAAAGCCGGATTAAGTTAGCCACCTTGGTGCCCTTGACTGGGCTGAAAGGCAGGATATAAACCTTGTAAATAAATGTTCCGCCATGACAGCTTCGCTCATTGCAGCAGGGTCTTCTGTGGGTACCAACCCGAAAATGGGCAATATTGACAACTGGCCATACATGTGCCTTAAGAACGTGAGAACATAAGAAGACCCCTGCTGGATCAGACCAATGGCCCATCTAGTCCAGCATCCTGTCTCACACAGTGGCCTCAACCAGTTCCTCTGAAGGGCCAACAATGGGGCATAGAGGCTGAGACCTTCCCTGATGTTGCCTCCTGGCTCTGGGATTCAGAGGTTTAGTGCCTCTGAGTGTGGAGGTTCCTCTCAGTCATCATGGCCAGTAGCCACTGATAGACCTCCCATCCATGAATCTATCTAATCTTCTTTTAAAGCTGTTTATTCCTGTGGCCATCACTACATCCTTCGGCAACAAATTCCACTTTCTAATCACTCGCTGTGTAAAGACGTATTGCCTTTTATGTGTCCTGAATCTACTGCTTCATTGGATGTTCTTGAGTTCTTATATTTTCGGAGAGGGAGAAAAATGTCTCTTTGTCAACACTCTCCACCCCATGCATGATTTCGTAAACCTCTATCAT